GGGGGGTGAAGAAGGAGGAAGGGTCGGGGAAGCAGAAGAGACAACCTCATCCCCCTCAGATTCATCTAACTCACCGATGGTAGGTCGACGACGGCGAAGAGGGATATTATCCATGGTGTCTCCGGAGTTAGGGGAAGAAGTTCGAGCTTTAAAAACGCGAGTAGGAACTGTATCGCCGGGACGAAGGATAGAGAGGGGGACAACTTCGAGCGCAGAAGGTAGTATTTCAACTGAATCGGAGGAGGTCTCAGAGTCTGAAAAGAAAATCAAAACAAAAACAAAGAGAACAATATCAAAAAGAAGATGTCGCGAGGAAGAAAGAGGGGAGAAGAAAGATTAGGGTTTTACGGCAGAGCAATCCAAAAACCAGGAGGAGAATTCGGGAAGTAAAGGGACGAAAATTTCAAAAATTTTCAAAGGAGAGACAAAATTTCCAACATTCAATAGACAAACAAGAGTATCCCAAGCGCAAATTCAACACAAGGCAAGCCAATTTGAAGCAATTCAACAGGCAGATTAAGAACACCCAATATTGAAAATCCAAGAATACACAAAATATAACTACAAAGAATATAAGTTCAAGTGTGAAGAGACTTACTCATAACCGTGGATGGATAATTGATGGAAGTTCGAAAGGGCGCAGGAGAAACCGTCGAGAAAGTAAGAGTTTTTTTGCAGAAGAGAATTCTTGGCACAGAGCAATTCGAAAATTGAGAGGGTGGAAAAAGTTGAAAAATACGCTAAGTATGGAATTTATACTTTGGATATTGAGGGGCGGAAAGATAAGGGCCGTCGGATTAAAGGTAGATCTAACGATGGGGAGTATTAATTTGCACGGAGCTCAAAACGGACGCATTAGGCGAGGAGGCGCAATAATTAAAGCGTCTGACACATGTGACAGATGTGACGCGTGGCAGAAAACGGATGCGACAGAAAGGACGTAAAGCAGATAACTTTATTTCTAGGGATTAATGGGGAATTGTTCGAAAAAATGAGCGGGAAGCTTACCAGCTGGTCGATATCTAACGACGAACCATCCAGAAGGACGATAAATGCTAATTCACTCTTAGATCGAATCATTCAGACTCGACCAGAGTGGGGGGACTAGATGATATACGATATTATATCCACAAGGCTGAACCGGTCTCTTGACCGGTCGAGGAGGTCATATTATGAGGAAGCCAAAGAAATCGAGCAGTCATCCAGTCGACCAAGCAAGGTTGTCGACCAAACTATCCTTCGACCAGATACGTGATCGAGCAACCTATTCGACCTCAACAGGTCGATTACTTCGAGGACTTAATACCACGCTGTTCGACCTAGTCATAGGCGCGTGAGGGAAACCTCTGGCAGAATTCCAGGAGAATATTTACCCCATGTGCAGGGGGACACGTGTCGAGAAGGCAGTGGTGGATAGCGATAACCACCTCTGACAGCCTACCCCATGTGCAGGAGGACACGCGTCCAAAGAGGATTGGTGCAGGCGATAGTGGCGACGGCTACCTCTGACACACGCGTTTGGTATGTACGGACGGGCAGTTAGGGCAGACAACTTATCAAATCCGGGCAGCCCTAGGTCAGGTATCTCACCCCTATATAAAGGGGGTGAGCCTTTCTTCTTCAACACGATCATTCTACTACTTACTCTTGAGAATTGATTGAATATACACTGACTTAAGCTTCGGAGGCTCTTCACCGGAAAACCCCTCCGGTGTGAGAGTTCTTTGTAGGTACACGACGTTCAACCGGCGAGAAGGAAGGCGATTACTCAAGTTCCAGCCGGTCGAGGAGTGTTGTGTTACCAAACCTTGTCCACGTGGCGGACATCAAACAAGCCCGAGTGATTAATGGACCAACAATGATGAATTTTACAACTTATTGTATCAAGTTTGATATCAGCCAAATTAGTGGACCTTTTATGGAAAATGACCAATATAATGGACCAAAAATGAAATTTTGCCTAGCGAAATATGTTAACCGATCCATAAACATTTAATTTACTTCACTTTATGGAGTAATTAGATATTGTCCACGAGATCTCATGAGCTTCCAATGACACCATGACTACTGTACTTCCTTGTTTCACCTCTTACATACAGTGCACAACTTTGGCTCACTCTAATCTTGAATACTTGAAACGATCAAACACGGACCACCAACAGTCATCCAATTGGGGCACTCAAACAGCCAATGGAGAAGTCCAAAAATCACTTACAAATCCTATATAATCACACACTCGGTGAATCTCCAACATTCAACTTCTTAAACAAACACCAATTACACAAAATGGCGAAATCCTCCGTAAGCATGAAGCTCCTCATCGACACAAAAGCCAAACGCGTACTGTTCGCCGAGGCCGGCAAGGACTCGGTGGATTTCCTATTCTACATAATCTCCTTGCCCGTGGCCAACATTGTCAACCTGATGGTGATGGGCAAACAGGGAATGGTGGGCTCTCTCGGGAATCTCTACCAAAGCATAGAAAACTTGAATGAGACGTACATGCAGCCCAACCAGAACAAAGACACGCTTTTGAAACCGGCCCACTCTGTCTCCTGTTCCAGCGTTCCTCTGCTGGCAATTGGGGCCGCGCCCACGGTCAAGAAGTTGTACACGTGTCCCAAAAACTGCATATCTGTCACGGAGGACACCGCCGCCGTCTGTCATGGCTGCAACTGTAAGATGACAGTGTTGATGGAGTACGTGGCCCCACCTGCGGTTCAGAAGGAGTCTGGCCCGGAAGGTGGGTTCGTGAAGGGGGTGGTGACGTACATGGTGATGGATGATTTGACTGTGTCTCCTATGTCCACTATTTCAAGTATTACTCTACTTAATAAGTTTAACGTCAAGGAAGTTGGTGCTTTGGAGGAGAAGGTCGTGAGTTTTGGGATGACTGAGGTTTGTACCTATTATTATATATGTTTGCTGAATATATTTTGGAAATAAATTAATTAATGGCTAATTTTGTTGAATTTACTCTAGGTTGTGAAGTTGTTGAAGGCTTCTTTGGAAACCAAGAATGTGCTTACCCATGTTTTCCTCAACCGTACAGCATGAATGAGGTCGAGGAATTTGGCTTTGGCCCTGTTTATGATGTTGGGGCTTTTGCACTTCGTGTAACACATTCTCAGACCATATCTTATGCTCGCATATCCTTTTGCAATTATACTATGTTTAAGTAGGGCATTGCAATGTTATGTTATTTTATCCCTTTGAAATTTGCAACTTTTGTCTACTTTGTTTAAAATGGTTTGTCTTTCTGATGCCTACCAATGGAATGAAAGGAAATTAAAAAAATTATTTATATGACCTTCAGAATTGGAGACCATTATTTTCTCCTTCATTTGGCACGCAAACTCATTTATTATTCGAGGATGGCTACAGTTCTGTCACGGATTTATAGTTGGATCTTTTTCTTTGATATTAACCCTTAGATGTATTAAATAAATTCAGATATGATAGATTTTCATTGGAGTGTTTTTTTTTTTTTAATTTTTTAATTTTTTTTTTTTGATATTGACCCTTAGATGTATTAAATAAATTCAGATATGATAGAATTTCATTGGAGTTTTTTTATTTTTTTTTATTTTTTTTTATTTTTTTTTTATTTTTTTGGAGGAATGATTCAATCACGGGACTTTAATATTTTCTCGGTTTTTAACAATTGCAAGATGTCTCTTCCTTTGTTTATTGCCAACAAAATAACATTGGGTTAATGTAGTTTGTTCTTGCTTGTAATGTCAAAGTATAAGATTTAATTAAGAAAAATAACTAAATTTGATTGAAAAAAATAAAAATAAAAAATCAACCTAACCTACTAAATTAAAACATGTATTGCAAATGACAATATCAAGTAACCATGAAATTAACATAAAAATAGAAATCATAGAACATTGTCAGCCTACATTAATGAGATATTGGATTTGGTAATCGATTAATCCCAATGAATGAAAACTAAATTCGAATCACCGTAAGTCATTTTGCAGGTGAAGGTTCTTAACCACGGGTCAGGGAGAACTATGGGTGGAATTCTTGAAATTTGGACTTTGATGAACCACGAGTGAGAGTGAACCCCGACTAGGCTATGTGGTTCAACTAGGATTGCATATGACCGCGGGTGAGAGGTGCTTGTGGGCGGTGCAACACACTTGACTACCAACTTGATCCGTTGATGATACCTGATATGACCTACTAACAGCAGTAGTAGCTGTTAATTAATAGCGCTCTTAGATTAGTTTTAATTCTAATCAAATAGAATCTAAGAGATTAAAATAGAGAACAAATAAATTAGTTATTCCCCCCTTCCTATTACATCAGGTACACTTACTAAAAACCTAATTCAAAATTAGAGTTGCTGCAAGTTTTATTGTTTTCAGAAAAATGGAGGAGGATCACTCTATTATTCCAAATATAACATGAACTTGAGAAATTTGGCTTGAAAAAAAGGTCGAAACTGATACTATGTGTTTCGACCCAATAATAGACAATGAATTTTTTCATGACATTAGTAAAAAGATGGAGCCTCGAAAGAAAAAATCTACTGAGTATGTTTTTCGAATTTTATTTGTTTATTTATTTATTTGACATATTCCCTTAGTGAGGATCAGATTTTAATATTCATTGAAAATGTACGCGGCGGGTTGTAAATTTTTTTTAACAGAAAAACACGCCAAAAGAAGGGTGGGAATTAAGGCCGAATCCCCAACCTGTATATAAACAAGGCCTTAAATAGGCTGAGAAATTCACAGATTTCCAGAACAGTGTCCGGTATACATCAAATCAAACAAAAACAAATAAAAGCAAGAAAAAAAGATACAAAATAGCAAGAAATACAAAAGGTGTTAGGTCCTGGTCCGAGAAAAGTCCAGGCAAAAAGTTCGCACCACAGAAAGCCAGAGACGTCAACAGGTATGGACCGCTATGCTAATCTGAGTGAGAGGTATTGACATTCATCATATTTTCATGCATTATGAGTGATATAGTGTGATATTTAGTTGTGTTTTTTGTAGGATTGTGCATCATTTTCTTTTATTTATTAATCTATGTAGAGGTGCATTTGTCGTTGGTTTTGCAGGAAATATGCTCGGAAAAGCGTTAAGATGGAATCAGGACGAAAAACGACGAAAACAAGGTGCAAATGAGTCACACGAGTCGTGTGTGAGGTGACACGAGTCGCGTGGGTAGAAAAGAATGGAGAATTCGAAGAATTTCGCTATGGCTTTTTCACACGACGCCTGTGTCAAGTGACACGAGTCGTGTGACCTCACGCCACTCGTGTGACCCAGTCGTATGAGGGGTCGTGTGAGTCTGGGAGTTGGCCGAAAATTCGAGGAAAGTCACACGACTCGTGTGGCATGTGACACGAGTCGTGTGATGCGCTGATAAGTCAACGGGAAGTAGGACTCCGACGCGATTTCTACCCTTTTCATCCCAGAATTGCCCTACAGTATAAAAGGAACTTGGAGAACACAGTTTTGGGACTTTTGACACCTTTGGAAGCCTAGAGAAAGCATGTAACACACGAGGGATTCGAGGTAGTCAAGATTGAAGGTTCGGGAACTAACCGCGACAATAGTAATTCTTTCTTTTCTCTTTTCCTTGTCTTGAACAAAATTCTTAGTAGAAAAATATTCAAAACTACTTTTTGTGCTAAAATCATTTAACATTAAAAATCGGATGAACCAACCTAAACATTTATTTGGCTTCTAAATCCTTCGACCTTCAAAAGGTCATTTATGTAATTTTAGTTGCCAAGTATAATTCGTAGGTATGATAATTTCATTTATTCCCAAAGAACCAATGAGTTCAATACCTATCCACCTTTGAATTCTACTGATGCTAAACTCTCAAACGTAAGTCCTAATTCGAATAGTGCACAAAGACGAATTAATCTGGCCTCTGATACCAGTTGTTGGGTTCTATTAGGAACGTCGACAATGTGCATATTCAAATCTATTGAGTAATAAATCCTAACGCAGCGGAATCTATAGATATGATTAGGACTTAAGGTTTAAAATTTTTGTCGACTCTGAGACATTTCTGATTTCCGTTGATGGAGATCATCTGAACACCAAAGTTCGATGGGCAGCCGGACTTGGCCTTTCTCTATTCTAATCGAGTCGTTGAGGTGCTCTGGTTGCTCATCTGATCGCCTCGGACCTCTGGTAAGTTAGCGAACTGCTCGGGAATCATCCGGGACTCAGACAAGATCTTATGGACCACGTTGAACCAGTCTAGAATGAGCTGGACAGCTCTGGGCCAGTCTGAACCGCGTTGGCACATTGTTGGACTGTTCTGGAGCTTCCTGGACCGGGTGGAATGCATTTGGACTGGCTGGAGCGCATCTGGGCTGAAACTTTGCTCGTTGGGCCGCGGACACACTGCAGTTGGGCCAAGGAGGCGCGGTGTAGAACTGGGCCATCACGCGGGCTGGGGTCGGGCCTCAGCGGGCTGCGTGCGGGCTTCTACTGTGAGACGCGCGGGCTGAAACGCAGGCTGCTTGGCCCGCGCGTTTCTCCTCTTCTCCTGCTGAATCGCACGCGTATTGGGCCGCTTCCATTGGGCTTCGCCGCTGGACGTCACGCCATGGTGGATTGGACGCGAGTGAAACCGGGACCAGGCTTCGCGTGGACTGGACCTTCTTTATGCCTGGGCTGGTGCGCGATTTCTGCTGGGTTGCGACAATTGGACCTGGGCGCATGCTAGGATATCTGGGAGCGAATTGAGGTGCTGGGAAAAATTCTGGCGAGTTAAACGTATGTATATATTCGACGGGATACGAAAAACAACCTTCAAATCTCCTATTCTATGACCTTTATACGATCTCTAATAAATCCTGATGGAGCGATTTATTAGATTTCCCAAAGTCTCTTGATTTTCTTCTTCTAAGACCTCTCGGCGTTAGCCGAATATTCTCTCAAAGAAGAATCTCTCTTTCTCTCACATATTGGACCGAATTTCTCCAGCCCTTCGCGGTGAGAAAAACGTGTGATACTTTTTAAGAGGCTAGGGGACTTAGTGTATTTATAGGCTACAATAGGAACCAAAAGGAGGTGCTAAAAATGGGCTTATTCCATCACGTTTATGAATCCTTATTATTTTTCATCTCTTTTTTCCATCAATGATAATATTCCTAGTATTTAATTATCTTCTAGAAGACTCCATAGTTTCCTAACCCTAGGTAATATTCTAGAAGGAATATTCTCATCCTTACGGAAATATGGAATATAATTAATTCTTAATTCATAATCTAGAATTAAATAATAAAATATTTCACTAGAGTAATATTATTGTTCTCTCCATTTAGCTCTGAATTACAACTAACTCATCTCTACTTGATTAAATTATATTAATCTAATTGACCGATTTATCTCCCCATGTTTAAGATATAACGTTCGTTGATTAATTAAATTACTGACAAAATAATTAATCAACTTCTTATTTATTTCTGAAACTAGTACCACTCAGATCCTTAATCATTATGTGGGATACACATCCGCATGCAAGGCTTGACATAATTTTCATTCCTGAGCTCATTTCGGGGACGTCATCAAACAACGCACTAGAAAACAATGGCCGTAAATAATTTATAACGACACATCATATAAACACACTTATTTACCAAAATATCGAGTATGTTATCCTAACAGAATATGAATCACCCTTGGCAAATCAAATAAACAAGTAATGAATACATATGCCCGTTTTTTATTATCTTACAGCTTAAAAGTACACATCAATTGCTGAAGGTATAGATTACAACAACGGTCAGTGAGTCTCATAACCTTATCCTTCTGTGGTCCTGTTCAATACTTAACATAAGTACTAGTGTAATTCTCTAGTCAAAGACAAATTGAATCAAGAATACACTACAGTCTTTTTCCAATAGGCATCTCACTACCTGTCTACACTGTGAACGAATAGTTTAGTCTTACAAGGAACCGATAGGTGATCTTTCTGTTCAAAACACTTTGAACCACACTATCTCAATGTAAGACAAGTAGTATGATTGCATAAATAAATAAACTGCAAGCGTATGTACTTTGACCGAAACATGA